TGGATAAGTAGGTTTCATCTTGGAATTTCCGTAGTGACCATATGTCGGATATACTCGGTCAATTGGTAGATACGATATCTTTAAACAATCGAGATTTAGTGTATACCTAGACAACGATATGGCACACAATTAACCCTTTTCCGTTTATCATTCTCATGGTTGTGTTCGTTTCAGCCATGAACACCTCGTGATTTCATGAGTGTATAAAGAATAGGCTTTTGACATAAAATCTCTTTGAAGCAGCTTACACTTCACACTCACATAAGTAATTTTTAATCGTGTCATATGTAGATACTGTATTTAGCCAAATCTTCCAAACTTGGCAAATGATTAAAAACCTTAAGCTTTATTAACTCATTAACAAGCCTTAAAGTCTTAACTTTTTTCTTGAACATTGTCTTCGTTTTCATCAAGAGAATGGATTGAGTTGATTGACAATGTCAAACCGTCACTCACAACTTTATTTTTTTTCCTTGAATCTAGCTCTTGGGATCTCCAGTCTTCAAGATAGAGTTACTGACATGCTGACTTGTCCTAAGGCATAAATCCATTCCCTTAGATGATCTTTCAACTATCTCTCTCGCTAGGTCTTTCGTTAGTGGAAAAGTCAAATTATCGCTTGACTTCACATAGTCAATTGTGATAATTCCAGTATAGACCAGTTTTCTTACATTGTTATGTCTCCATCGTATATGACGAGACTTACCGTTGTACATGATGCTCCCTGCCCTACCTATTGTTGTTTGACTATCGCAATGTACGCAAATAGGTTCCACAGGATTGGCCCAAAATGGAATATCCTCTAGGAAGTTCCATAGCCATTCAGCTTATTTGCTAGCCATATCTAAAGCAATGAATTCAGATTTCATTGTATAACGAGTGATACATGTCTGTATGAATGATTTCCAAGAGATTGCTCCTCCACCAAGTGTATACACATAACCACTTATGGATTTTACTTAATTTGACCCGGTGATCTAATTTGCATCAGTTTATCATTTAATCATAGTAAGATATTTATTATAATGCAAAGCATTGTGTTGTGTATGTTTCAAATACCCCAACACACATTTCACTGTCATCCAATGAGTTTGATTCGTATTACCAGTGAACCGACTCAATTTACTAATAGTACATGCAATATCTAGTCCTTTACAAGTCATAATATACATCAAACTTCCCAATACTCTGGCATATTCTAATTAAGAGTCACTTTCACCTTCATTCTTTTAAAATGTAAATCTTAAATCAATTGGAGTTTTCACAACATTGAATTTCAAGTACTTGAACTTATCCAATACTCTTTCAATATAATGAGATTGAGATAATGCTAGTCGCTGAGGCGTTTTGAAAATCTTGATCCCGTAGATCAAATCAGCTACTCCTAAGTCCTTTGTATCGAACTTGCTGGACAATATGAGCTAAATAGAATTTATATCATCAATATCTTTACTCAGTATTAACATGTCATCAACATACTAATAAATAATGACTTCATGATTCTGAATGTTTTCTATGTAAACACACTTATCACATTCGTTAATCTTGAATCCATTTGCTAACATTGTTTGGTCAAATTTAGCATTTCATTGTTTGGGTGCTTGCTTGAGCCCATAAAGTAACTTCACAAGTCTACATACTTTTTTTTCTTTACCATGAACTACAAACACTTCAGGTTATTCCATGTAAATTTCTTCCTCCAACTCTCCATTTAAGAAGGATGTCTTTACATTCATTTGGTAAATTTTAAGATCATACACTGCCCACTAGTGCTATTAACACCCTAATTGATGTTATCCTTGTTGCTGGAGAGTGTGCGTCAAAATAGTCAAGACCTTTTTTTTTATCCTTTGAATACAAGTCTAGCCTTATATTTTTCAATAGTTCCATCAATTTTCATCTTCCTTTTAAAGATCCACCACTTTGATCCTAAATATTTATTTCCTGGACGAAGGTCAGCCAAGTCCCAAGTATGATTACTTAAAATTTATTCGATCTCACTATTGACAACTTCTTTTCAATAAGTTGACTCAGACGAAGACATAGTTTGTTTAAATGTTTGAAGCTCAATTTCTAGCAACAATGCCACAAAATCTGATCCGAAAGAAGTGGGTTTCCGTTGGCGAGTGTGATGCCTAGAATCCTCACTAGGTAGTGTATTTTTCATTGATTCATTCTATGATCTTTAGGTCTTTCACTTGTCAACTAACATTCAGTTTTATACAGATAAATGTATTCAAAGAACTCTGTATTATCTGACTCAATCATTGTATTAACATTAATCTCAGGATTATCAAATTTGTGAATCAAAAATAGGAAGAATATACTGTTCAAAACATATTCAATAAATACACAATCTACCATTTTGAATCTAATTTTAACCCTTTTGGGTAAAGGTAACACTACCTTGGCTAGACACCCTCGCACATTGAAATATTTCAAGTTGGGTTTTCTTCCTTACCACAATTCATATGGAATTGATTGTGTTTTGCTATGGGTGATCCTATTGAGTATCTTATTAGTCGTAAGGATGGTTCCCCCCCCCCCCCCAAAGGTCTCGCTGTGAATCAGAATTGATCATTAATACATTCATCATTTCTTTTAATGTTCTATTCTTCCATTCTGCCAAATCTTTTGACTGTGGTGTGTAGGGTGCAGTAGTTTGATGAATAGTACTATATTCTAAACATATCTCTGCAAAAGAAAATTCGTATTCTCCACCCCAATCACTTCTAATTATTTTTATCTTTAGATTCAATTGGTTCTCCACTTCATTTTTGTATTTCTTAAATACATTAATTTCCCCATCCTTACTATTAAGAAAAGATTCATAACAAAATTGAGTGAAATCGTCAATAAAAGTTATAAAATACTTTTTTCCACCACAAGATGGTGTTGACTTCATATCACATATATCTGTGTGAATTAATTCTAAAGATTTTGAATTTCTTTCAACAGACATGTAAGGATGGTTAACAAACTTACTTTCCACACAAATTTCATATTTTGATTTTTCACATTTAAAATCAGACAATACTTCTAAAATAACCAATTTTGAAGGCTTTGTATTTTACATGGCCCAAACAGGCGTGCCATAAATCATTTGACTCCAATAAGTAAAAAGAAACAGAATTCTTATTAATATTGTCAAGAATCATTACATTCAGTTTGAATATGCGCTCATTGAAGTAGCCTTTCTTATGAACAATTCATCTTACTTATTACAGCTTTATCACTAACTAGGACACAGTTAAACTTTTTGTTAATGAGTAGTGCAGCAGAAACTAAATTCTTTCTAATAGTAGGGAGATGCAGAACATTGTTCAAGTCAACACCTAGTCGGATGTCATTTTCAATATTACTTTCTCAGTACCTGTAATCCTTAGTGTTTCTATATTTCCCATGAACAAATCTTCATCGTACTCAGCAAGAGTATATGTTGCAAAGGCTTCTTCGCAGAGCAAATATGTCGAGTGGCACCTGAGTCAAGAAACCACTTCTTGGGATTTCCAATTAAGTTACACTCCGAGATCATTGGGCATAAGTCATCTGCATCTTGCATCTCTTCCACTATGTTTGCTTGACTTTTGTTTTTGACTTTGTCTTTTTCTTTATTGGAGCACAACAATCATAAGACCTATGACCAGCCTTACCTCAGTTGTAACAATTGTCTTTGAATTTCTTTTTGGCATGTTCTGACTTCTATCCGTTGGACTTCTTTCTCTTTTTCTCTTTAGTAGGAGCTTCTTCAACAATATTAACTCTAATGATTGTTGGACTCTTACATGACTTTTTTTCGATGGTTTTGTTATCTTCCTCAATCTTGAGCCGAATCACAAGAACTTCAAGATTCATTTCCTTATGCTTGCGCTTTAGATAATTCTTGAAGTCGTTCCACGTAGAAGGCAACTTCTCAATCATTGCAGCCACTTGGAAAGCTTCATTTACTACCACAAAATTTTTCAAGCATGCATCTTCTGGATATTGCAACAATATATATCTAATCCTATTGAGACAAAATATCATAGTATTGAAGAAAACCCTTTGCTTCTCAATAACTTAAACACATACTTTATCTTAATTATGCTCTTTTTTCCGCATAAATCAAAAGAAGAACTCCGAATTTAAGAGCGCTAAAGATTTGGCAATCCATTGATCCGATCATGATTTACTCAGGGATATTTTCCTTAAAAGGTATTTGTATAGCATGGGAAGTCATGACTTTGTTGGCTAATTTACCTAATCTCTAACAATTTTATGCATTCGCTGGAACAGATTGGAGACTAAATGAAGATGTTATGTTTCGCAAATCAAAATATCTAAGAATTATAGAAGCAGATCTGCAAAGGTGGAAAGCAGGTAATGATAATTTTGCGATGCTTGAGTAACTAATACTGCATGGGTTTCATAATGTGGAGGAGATTCTCGATTGTATTGAAGAAATAAATTCTAGCGTGATATATGATATTATAGGTATGTCACATTTTTTTCTACAAAGTGTGTAATATCTTGATATATTTTGATAAAGAAGAGATTATATGTTATGAAATTCAAATGATAAAATCAACATGAAAATGGACTTAGAACATAACATATATAATAAAAATTATTATTCTCGACTGAATCATAATTGAACAGAACACTTACTACCGACTTCAAATGAAACATAACTCATGAACATTTCATGATGAACACCTCAAATGACAGATGAACATAGTCACTTAACAGACTACTATGTTTTTAATTTTACTTTCAATATTTCCATAACACGCACACTAGTAATTGGGAACTATAGAAGAAGTAGATCCACTAACACTATAGGTAAAGCGTCAACCAACACGGTGTCCATATGAGGAATTTTACATAACAGAATTAGGAGGAGTTAACCATTTGTTCCTCCTCTTAAACCTTGTTTTTAAGAATTACCATTGTCCTCTTCAAGTATTGTACTTGGAATAAGCTATGTTCTTCAATAAAATATTCCTACCATAGACCATTAGCTATCTTCCTAATTCTCCAAGGGATGGTCCGCGATTTATTTCCATCTCAAGAATCCCCTCGAGGTTCCTGAGCTTGGTATTGAGCTCACAAATACCACCTTCTATAAGAGCCACGATTTGTTGATTGTGAACATCATTATTTGGTTGTGGAAATTTCCTCCCAAGGAACCTCTCCACCGATGGGCTTATGCTAGTGGGACCAAAGGAGAAATCTCCATTATCGCTCGGTGAAAATGCCACAATGATAATTTTAGCACCACACAACATACAAAGTTCAAGAGCCTTTTTTAACAGACCAGCAAGACGCTTAGAGAACGTAACTTGTAAGTTCCTCGCATTCTTCATTTTCACCATGTCAACCCTTTGAGAACCCTTGTTGATCCTTGTTGCCATGTCTAAACTATCACTAAGAAATTGTGAAGGTAAAATTGTGATTTTTGGTATGAACACCAACAACTTTATATAGGAAATCTTGGGAGACTAGCAATTTATGTTCTTTCCTTTTTTTGCATTGAAGAAAAGTATTGAAAATTAAAAACATTAGATTCACTTACCCTTCATTCGGTGTAATTATGCTATAAATATTTTTTCTAATTAGAATTATATTGTTTTATTGCACTTGACAGCCATTTTATTTGAGAATAATTTTGTTTTTTTTAGAAATAGATTAAATGATTTTTAAAACCTTTATGCTTTAAAAATAAATATTTTTCCTAATTAGAATTATATTATTATATTTCACGTGACCGACATTTTATTTGAGAACATTTTTTTTAAAATATAATATTTTAATTTTGAATATGTTTCCTTATTAGTATTATATTACTAGATAGTACTTGAACGTCATTTTATTTTAGAACAACATTAAAAAAATATATTAAATAATTCATAAAACCTTTATGATTTAATGATAACACAAATTTTGCATTTACCATTGGATTTTCCTAGTTAATTATTATTTTGAGACCCACATTCAATAAAAATCACAAACTTCATGTAGTGATATATTTGCCTTTTTAATTACTAAATAATAAATAACTCACATTTCAAATATTATATTTATTTGTATTGAATTTATTTAATGACAAATAACTCTCTCTAAATTATGAAAATTGTAAGCTTATTTATTTTAGTAAATTTATTAGTACAAAACATACAATACAGAAAATAAATAAAATCGTTAAAACAATTTAAGGAATATCTTTTTTTATTTTACATAGACTTATAGTGAGGTATTGAATTATATGTATTCCTAATATCGCCAAATACGTCATATATCATGTAGGGTCTATAAATTAGGTATAACTAGGTCTCGTATTCCTACCAAACATAGTACTAAATAATACCATACAAATACATTGACTATTTCTCTTTACATTCCCTTTCAAATGAGTTTTTTGATGTTTCTAAAACTTATATAAATTTTGTCCTAATGAAACTTTCTTCGTACTTGTCTTTTCTCAACATATGTGTTACCATAATATAGTATTCCAGTGGTAGTGATGAGATACCAAAGGAATTTGTACCAAAATCCTAAATTTTAATCATATTAACTTAGTTGGTAGACGTTATCTCTACGCTCCATGTTGGTGAACCAACCACCAAACTACCATTGAACTGCAACAACTTTTAACAAAATCAAAATGTCTATTCCTATCAAAGATATTACTTACATCCATGGAGACCCAACTGTATTTTGGGAGGAAACAGAGGCTTGGAACATGATCCTGAAAGAAGGTTTACTATGCCATAACTGAAATTTTTTCTTACGGCTGGTCAAACTTAGAAAAGATATGTAAATTGATCCTTTACGATGTAAGATTCAAGCCTGAATGTAAGGAAAGATCTTAAATGATAGTGTTATTTGCAGTTTTGATGATTTGACAAACGTAGGGACCTTGTAAAGGCACCAAGTTTCTTACTTGAGTTTTGAAGATGAAACAAACCAAGGGACCTTTTAGAGGTATCAGACTCTCATTGTGACGAGCCAGTTGACTGCCAGCTTGAGACGGTACAGAAAATAGGTGCACACTTCCCGATGGCGTCAGAAAGTGAGACTTCTCCAACCAATGGCAAAGAGTTTAAGGAAAGTGACTTGTGCATATAAAAGGCACTTTCCTAAACATCTTTAGTAGTTTTTGCAACTTGAGATAGAACTTTTCAAGAACATTCGCAAAGGCTGCTAGAAAACGAAAGGTAGAATTACTCCAAGAACAGTAGTAATATCTGAAGCTTTTAGTGTAGCTGTTTAGGAATATATTCTCTTGTTCTTATATTGTAAACTATTACTGAAACTATAAAGGAATCAGTGGGTAGTGTTAAAAGTCTAGTTGTCCAAGTGGGATAGCTTAGTGGGTAGACTGTTTTCTACTTAGGCTTTTTAAGAAATAGATACTATTGCTTAAACGTGAGATTAAAAACTTCTTCTCACATTTGTTGTAATCGTGTTTTACTTTTTCTTTTGAAGATTAGTGAAAACGATTAAAAATCCTGTGAGACAGGTCGTGGTTTTACTCCCTTAAGCAAGGAGGTTTCCACGTAAAATCATTGTGTTGATTTTACTGCATTTAACTTTATGGTTATATTCATTAGTGTAGTAAGGGACCTGGTCCATTATTCTGTTAAGTGAAGGCATATAATCTATCAAGTGGTATCAGAGCAGGCACTCTCTATTTGGTTAAAACCAAGGAAGTGATATTTGATCTAGAATGGCTTCTCCACTTAATCTCGAAGAAGGTCAGTCGTCATCAAGACCTCCCCTTTTTAATGGACATTTCTACAGTTGGTGGAAAGTTAAAATGCATGATTACCTCATGACTGAAGACAGCGAGTTATGGGATATTGTACTTGATGGACCGTTTATTCCGATGATAGAAGAAAAGGATGGAGAGAAAACTAGTCTTGTTCCAAAACCTAGACAGAAATACGACGAAGCTGATAGAAAAAAGATTGAGAAGGGATACAAAGCAAAAACTCTTCTTGTTTGTGGGATAGGACCTGATGAGTTCAACAGGGTTTCAGCTTGTGAGTCTGCTAAGGAAATTTGGGACTGTTTAAAGACTTCTCATGAAGGAACAGAACAAGTCAAAGAATCAAAGATTGGCATGCGTACCTCATGGTATGAGAACTACAAAATGAAGGAAGGAGAAACAATTCATGACAAGTTCACAAAATTGTCTTCCATTACAAATGAGCTGCGAAGTCTTGGTGAACCTATAAGCATGAGCAAACAAGTCAGAAAAGTACTTCAAATTCTTCCAAAATCATGGGAAAGCAAGGTTGATGTCATCACAGAAGCCAAAGATTTGAAGGTGATGACTATGGATGCTTTGATTGGAAATCTTAAGACACATGAGATGAACCAAAATTAGGATGCATCAAACAAGGAAGCTAAAAAGGATAAGTCATTGATGCTGAAGTACAAATTAGATGAAGATTCCAGTGATGATGATATGGCATATCTTATCGCGTAGATTTCAAAAAATTGTGAGAAAAAACAATGTTTTTAAAAGAGGAACAAATGGTCTTCGAAATGCTACTCAAGGTGATACATGATACAAGTGTGGAAAAGCTGGACACTTTATCAGAGAGTGTCCTCTGCTCAAGAATAAAAACAACGAATATCAAAAACCAAGAAGTGACAAAGAGAAAAGAAGGGACGTGGTACTCGGTAAGAGAGATCGAAAAGCTGTTGCAGACTTGGTGGTCAAAAAGGCTCTTGCTGCGTGGGGTGATTCTTCAAGTGATTCAGAAGATCCTGATGAATCAAATGATGTGTCTATGGTGTCTGTACATGAGGAGGAAACCATTTTCAATGAAATGTTTTCTCTCATGGCTCATACAGAAAATGAAGAAGAGGACGACCAGGTAACTCTTCTTGATATGAAAAATGACTTAGATAATTATTCTCTTAAAAAATTGAGAACGTTGGCAAAAGTCATGATTTTCTGTAATTGAGTTAACATGTGAAAGAGACACCATGAATGTTGAACTTGACAGTTTAACTGAAAACAAAGTTAAACTTGAAGAGAAAATGTCAAGAATGGTGTCTCTAGAGTTTGATAATTTGGAACTTAAGAACCAGTTGAATCAGATAACTGAAGAAGCTGAAAACCTAAATGGAATGTCAAATGGTTTACAAGTTGAAATTCAAGAAAAATTGAAAAACTCTGAGAAAAACCTTGGTCTGTCATTGGAGAAGAGCAAAAAATTAGAAAAGGATATTGTCAAATTTTTAGGAAGAACTTGAAAAATCTCTTAAGTGGACAAAATCCTCAAAGTTATGGTCAAATGCACCAAATCAGAGTAATTTCAATAAGAAAGGACTAGGAAGTTTGAACATCACTCCTCCTTATAATCCTCACAGTAAGTATGTGTTTGTGTCTAACAATCTACTCTATCTTCATTGTGGTAAGAATGGGCATTTAAGGGGAGAGTGTGCTGGCTGGAGAAACTCCTATTAAAGACTCTCTAATTATGTTGAAAGTCAAAATTTACCAAAAGAGAGATCTGGTCCTCCAAAGCATGTTTCAACTCACATATTTTCAAAGAAAAAATTTATCACTGCTCCAATGTCCTTTGTTAGAAAGCTTGAAAATCTACCCTATTGGACTAAATACAATCTGATCACTCCTTTGTCTGCCTTCTGGGAACTCAAATTGAAATGGGTTCCCAAGCTGAACAATTGATTCTTGGTGCAAGTGAGTGAGAGAAGTAGCAGTCAATGTTGGTATATGGACAGTGGATGCTCTAAACATATGACTGGTGATGTAAAAAATTTCCTCTCACTCAAGACACTTCAAGGAGGAGGTGTCTCTTTTGGTGATTGAAAGAAGGGGTACATTTTGGGAGTTGGCAAAGTGGGAAGATCTCTTGAAGATTCAATTGACAATGTGTATCATGTGGATGGGTTGAAGTACAGTTTGTTGAGCGTGTCTCAAATCTGTGACAAAGGAAATGAAGTCAAATTTACTTCTGAGAAGTGCACTGTGGTGAGTCTAACTACAAAAAAGGTAATTCTCACTGCTCACAGAAGTAAAAATATGTATGTGGTCAACTTGGAAACGTCTCAGGAGATGATCTGACATGTCTTAGTGCTCAAAATGAGAATGCTGACCTTTGGCATCGTAGGCTGGGGCATGTGAGCTCATCTTTATTGAACAAACTGATTTTTAAGGACCTGGTCCGAGGTCTGCCAAAGCTGAAGTTTGCTGAAAATAAAATCTGTGAAGCTTATGTTAAAGGAAAACAAATCAGATCATCCTTTAAGCCTAAAAACCAAGTAACATCATCAAGAACACTAGAGCTGCTTCACATGGACTTGTGTGGACCCTTGAATGTTCAAAGCAGAAATGGCAAGAAATACATTTTGGTGATTGTTGATGATTACTCGA